TTGTCCATGGCCATATACATAGAGTATCTTTCACTATTCAATTAGCTAATTATATATACTCTGAAGTTCCGAATAATCATATAGAGCATAATAATAGTATAGAGTGGAAAAATACAAATTTACCAATAATAGTATAGATCGGAATAATAGTATAGGGTGGAAAAAACGGCAGTACTGGCAGTTTTCCCGCATTTTTTTGGCAAAACCGCTGACTTCTCCCCAGTTTCCCCTGTGATCAAATCCCCTGACCAGATGATTTGTGCTCTTAGTTTGCTGTTCGTTCGCGGTTTTGTTTTCGTTTTAGAGACAAAAAGTCTGTCTTTTTGGCAACTTTTTTCAATTTTTTTTCTCACGATATTGTTAATAACTAATTAAGGTAGGCACAGAGAAAAAAATTGTGAAAATTAATAATCRTACAGTCCCAAATAAKGCCGTATRGAGTGGAATATTTTGCCAAAATAAATAAGCGTATATATACGATTATTCGGAACTTCAGAGTAGTATATCTCACTTACCGCCATCACTATATCCCTCCTCGGCAATTATTTCAAACAGTCTGTCAAATGCATTCTCAAAGGCAACRATTTTCTGTGAGGGAAAGATTACAATTAAAAAAATTATAGCCAGGTACTTAATATTGAAAATTCATCAACTTATCAAATGGATTGCACCCTCAGAATACAACTAACCTGAATGGCTGCATTGGATTTTGTGAGTTGAATTAATAAAAGAAGACCCTGAAGAAAAAATGAATTAATAGGGTTATTCAATGCACAAGTTTGATTATGGTTCCTGAAGAAATAACTGCAACACAATACAACCATCCTAATTTAAGTTTTTTACTTATTATTATAAAATTTTTGATATATAACGCGCGCTCTGATTGGCTGACGACCGTGTTTATATCAGAGGACAGAGACACGGCTTACCGGCAAAATTTTCTTGTCGCTCGAAAAAATTTTTTTCTTATTATAAAATTTTTGATATATAACGCGCGCTCTGATTGGCTGACGACCGTGTTTATATCAGAGGACAGAGACACGGCTTACCGGCAAAATGTTCTTTTCGCTCGAAAAATTTTATAAAAGAAATATAAAACGGCCGCTTGTGTCTCTGTCCTTTGATATAAACACGGTGGGAGTTGAAAAACACTCGAGAAGCAAGAGAAAGCTTGCTTCTCTCGTGTTTTTYGAACTCCCACCGTGTTTATATCAGAGGACAGAGACACGCRCGCCGTTTTATATTTCTTAAAGATAATAACTCAAATTATAAAAAATCACTTATTCAAACAAGGAAGTAAACAGGCAATCAAGATATTAATAGCCTAACCTCATTTCTTATGATTTCTCTACTGTCTGATAGAAGATCCATTAATCTAGACACACCTGATAAAACAGAAACAAATGAATTTAATTTTGTTTTAATGAAAAAAGAACAATAA